CCAGGAGCAGTGGGACGACGGCTCAGAAGCCCCTACCTCCGGGCCGGGAACAGTGGGACTCAGTACCTTGGTCTGGTGGTCTGGTGTCCTCTGCACCTTTGTAGTGTGGAATCAGGTGGCTGCCTGTCTGCAGCGGGGTGATTCGGTGTCTTCCGTGTGACTCAGGACCTTGGTAGGGCATGCACAGACCTGCCTGTCTGCAGCGGGCTGATTTGGCGTGTGTTCCGCGTGACTGGGGACCTCGGTAGGGTGTGGGCAGACCTCGAGAAAATTTTTATTTTGTGTTCAAGTCCTATTTAGTTCATTATCTTCAAAATAAAAATTGAAAATAGATGGTAATTTAGGGAACTCAGATGAAAATTGATTTATAGTAGAAGCAATAGTATTGTGGGCCTCTTTGATGCTTGTGAGTATAGCAACAGGAACATAGAATGATAATCAAATGCCACTGAAAAAGTGTCCTGAATTCAGAGAATTGAAGAAAGATTTCTATTCTACAACAACTTTATAATGAAAGAACTAGCACTTAGCTGAGCATACTATTTGGTATTTGAAAAAATAGTTGTAAAGGACTATTTTGTCATTTTTTCTCATGTTTATAAAAATTTTTATTAGTACGTGATTGTAATACAATTATTTCATTGTGGAGAGTTGGTACATGTACATAACATGTCATGAATATGCTTTTGATCAGTTTTGGTGTGTTGTCTAACTTATTCAAATGTATTTATGTATTTTTATTTTTAGGTGTTTTGAGACAGAGGCTTGCTTTGTAGTTCAGGCTGGCCTTGTCCTCACTATGTCCCCTAGGCTGGCCTTTAACTCATAGAGATCCTCCTGCCTCAGCTTCCTGAGTGCAGGGATTATATGCATGCTCCACTGGCTTGAACATATTATTCAGTGCTATGTTTCAGACATTGTTCAAGGTAGTGGAGATTTAGCACTGAACAAAAGGATACAATTCCTTGAGTTTACATATCCCCCTGGTTAAGTTGCATAGGGATTGAAAATGAATTACTTGTCGCAGAGCAAGTGAGTGTTATTGGCTGACATGGAAAGAAGACTGCCATTGAGTGCTGAACGTAAATATGCAGTGTTAATGTAGTTCCTCAAGATCTTTTATAGAGGCCCCCTTTGAGGATTGCTTGTTTTTTCATTGGCTCACACCTTTGTATTGTTTTTTTTCCCCACTAGCATAGTATTGTCACTTTCTTTTAGGTGTAACTTTGATAGTCTTTTTTTTTTTTTTTTGGTACCAGGGACTGAACTCAGGTCCTTGTGCTTGCACAGCAGGCGGCGAAACCACTGAGCTAAATCTCCAGCCCATAACTTTGGTAGCCTTATTTATCTTTTGTCCTTAACTTCCTAAGCCTGTCGTGTCCTTTCTTTTGGCTCTTTTAAAATTCCTTTTTTATTTATGCTCTTTAGGTTCAGAACTTAAAGTGGTCCTATTAACTTCATTCCCTTTTTCAGGCACAGCAGTGTGAGATGGCTGCTTATTGTAAAAACGTGGTTCCTGTTTTTTCCAGATTTGTTTCATTAATGGAGCAGAGTAAATACTGAAAAGACACTTAAGTAGAGAAAAAAATGTACCTCATTTGGCTATTAAAATAATGACTAGTAGTATGGGAATTTCATATGAGAATTGAAAAAAATAATAAGCATTTGGCTTTTCTGTTTTTCTGACAGCAACATTGGATGCATGCATGAACAAAAAATTATTAAGGAATTTCTCAATACTACTGTTTGAAATTTTTAGGTTGTTATCCTTGTCCCGGGCCAAACATGAATCCTATTGCTCTTGGGAGCCGTTGGCTTGCTTATGCAGAAAATAAGGTAAGATGTAGCCCATTTTTGGGTTATTTGTAATGGAGCAAGTGTTTAAGGATTTTCCATAGGAGATATGTTTATTCCATTGGTGATTACTGATAATGAATGTTTACCTTGCTAGTTTGCTTTGGTTTTCATTGTGCAATCAATATTTGGATTCCTAAGAATTTATAAATTTTTGATAGTTGTCCTTAAACCAAGACTCAGTAGAACCTAATTTTTAAATTGGCTTTCTTCTATATAAAGAACTTTACTCCAATAATATTAAAAGTACAACACTGAGATTACAATAGCAGTAGTGTTGAAATAGCAGCAGCAGTTTCTGTGAAGGTAGAAATCAGGAGACAGGAGTAACTTCTAGCTTCATTGATAGATTGGAAACCTGGCCTGTGAAACTATTTCTTTGGCCATGTATGCTAACAAATAGATCAACAAAAGGGTGCAGCTATTTGTTTTAATAATTAAGTAACAGATCTTCACTTCCTTTTTCATATTTTCCAGTTATTTATCAAATTGATTCCAAGATTTTTATAGTAAATGGTATTATGTTTATGTAGTAAGAGATTACTTATGTACAATTCAATGCAAAACATAAATTAAAATTTTATATAAGAAAACATAAAGTAATTTTTATGTCAGCATTCTCCATGTGGATGTAGAATAAAATCTAAAAAAGAACTGAGGCATAATCTCAAATCCAAGCCTACCTTGAACAACTTAGCAGGATCCGATTATGAAATACAAAATGGGCTGGGGATAAGTCCAGGGCAAAGGCTCTGGGTTCAATCCAATCAAAAAGGCAGACAGAGAAAAAAAAAAGAAAATGAAAAAAAAAATAGTGCAGACTTCAAAGATTGTGTCATTTTTATTGGTTACAAGTTTATTGTATCTTGAGGTTATTATGAAATAATATGAAATAATTTTTGACAAAATCTGGATGTGGTAAGTTAAGTATTTTGTGAAGCCACAGAACCAGTAAATCTCTAGCCTATGAAATGTACAAAATCAAGAAATGACTAGGGAAAGTCATTTTTCTAGGTGAATTCCTTAATGTCTTCTCCAAAAATCTGTCTGCAACAATTACGATATTTTACATTTTACTGAGTGTTCTATTTATGTTCCATCTTCTTTGGTCTCTTGATTTTTCTAGTATTTCTCATAAAAATAGCTCCTTTGTAATTACTCCTTTCAAACAAGACAAGCTCTTGTGGAAGATATACAGTGGTATCTTCTTACGTTTATGTCTGTAGTGTATTCCCCTTGAGTGATGGAAACATCCAAGAAGAAAATGTATAAATTGTCCCTTGCCTCTTGTAGATGTATTTTCACATGAGGAACTGCCCATTTTGGATTACATAATGTTTTTGAGGGGCAAGAACTCCGTAAATACATAACCTGGATATGTGCTAGGTGTTCTTGCACATATGTTTGTAATATCTGGTGTCACACACAGACATCAGGTGATGTAGTGGCATTCAGAGGAGTTTGCCCATTGAATGCTTGTGCCATCATGTAGAAAGACCTCACCCTTCCCATTTGAAATGGGGTCTTGCTGTGCTGCCTAGGCTGGCCTTGAACTAGTGATTCTTCTGTCTCAGTTACTTGAGCAGCTGGGATTGCAGACATCCCCAAATAAAGATCATTATGTAATATTTTCATAAGAACTATTCATTACCAGTTTTCAGTTTTCTCAGGTGTTAGGCCAAGTGTGTGATTGCTAAATTGACTTAAATTTTGCAGTAAGTCTTTTTCAGTGAAAATGCTGTTTGATTATAAAATATTTTTATCTATTTATCCATTTTTATTTGAGTATAAAATCTTAAGTAAGAAGCCAGGTACCTTGATGTAGTTTACTTTTTAATATTTCTTTTTTTTTTAACTGCACTTTTACCTTGGAAAAGGTACAAGATTAATTATAGTAGAAATAGCACAAAGCATACTTACGTGTCCTTTAAACAGTTTATCTTCTGAATCCTGTCAGAGTAAGTTTGCACATGTCATTACCTGTAGGTACTGATCAGCCTTTTTTTTTTTTTTTTGGTTCCTTGAGACACAGTCTTGCTCTGTAGTTCAGGCTGGCCTTGAACTCAATACTGCATTTCCCTGAAAATAAGACCAGCTCTTATATTAATTTTTGCTCCAAAGTATGTAGTGGAGCTTATTTTCAGGGGATGTCTTACTTTTTTTCATGTACAACAGTCTACATTTATTCATGTACAAAAGTTTGCATTTATTCAAATGTAATCATGTCATCTTCTCTGGGACATCATCATAACTCTCCAAACCTCACATTCTGACCTGAATTTCTTGCAACTTTACCCCCTGTAAAACCATGGCCCCAATCTCTCATGTCAAAGGGCAATAGAGCCCCTCCTTAAATGTGCACTTTTTGTCCATGTAGCCTGCTTGTAGTTCATCGGCAGCATAACTCTCAGTGATGTTATCTTATGAATTCTTCCTCTAAGTCACGACCTCTTGCAGACCGGGCTTCACAAAATTTCCATTAAATCAAATGTTAACTGTACACATAACAGACAGAAGAGGCAACAAAAATGATGACAGTTAAGAGGGATGAAAATGATTAAAATGAATAATTGATAATTTGAAATAGGAAAAGGTCCAAAGGTGTAGGGGTGGCGGGAGGGGAAGGGGAAAGGGAAGAAGGGAAAGGAAAAATTATGAGAAAAGGAAAAAATGGAAACAAAGTCTGTGTAAATAGGGAAGAGTGGAGGGGGTCAAGGGTGCAGAGGTTATGGGGAAAAATAAGAACTAAGATACAGCATGTTCAGGTACAAGCACCCAGTGATAAATGTAAATGTATTGTATAACTAAAACGTACCAATAAAGATATTTAAAAAAAAGAATGATGGTCCAAGCAAGGCAGCAAGATGGTTGTGGGGTTCTTCTGTGGACCAAGTGCAGAACAGGATAATTGGTTCAAGACCAGGACAGTTAGTTCAGCAACAAACAGAAGAAACTACTGAGGCAGCTGAAATTTGCAGATTGCCTAGAAAAAAAGGTGGACGTGAGCAAAGTAACTTTGGAGGTTATAAAGCCTTGGATAACAAAACGAGTAACAGAAATTCTCGGATTTGAAGGTGATGTTGTGATTGAGTTTATATTCAACCAGTGGAGAATCCAGATTCCAAAATGATGCAAATCAACCTGAGTGGGTTTTTGAATGGGGTAAATGCTGAAGAATTTATGGGAGAACTGTGGCTCCTGCTGTTAAGTGCACAAGAAAACATTGCTGGAATCCTCTCTGCTTTCGTAGAACTAAAGAAAGAAGAAATAAAACAGACCGATTGAACAAGAAAAATTGGCATCCATGAAACAGCAAGATGAAGACAAAGATAAGAGGGATAAGGAAGAAAAAGCAGCAAAGGAAAAAAGGAGAGGTCTCGAAGCCCAAGAAGACGCAAACCCAGATCTCCTTCTCTTAGAGGATGAGCTTCCCGTCAGGAGAAAGAGAAAGCGCATTCTCAATCTCCCTGTTACAGAACCAAGAGCCAGAGCCCTTCCCCGGCTCCAGCAAACAAAGAAAAAACTCCAGAGCCCCCTGGCCCTTCTGTGAAAGTAAAAGAACCTTCAGTACAAGAGGCCACATCTACTAGTGACATCCTCAAACTTCCCAAACCTGAACCCATGCCAGAACCTAAAAAACCTTCTCCGGAAAAAATTGTGAAAAGGAAAAGAGGAACATGGGCCTCACTCCCAAAGAAGGCAGCCCCCATCTCCAAGTACCAGGCCCATCAGAAGAGTCTTCAGAGCTCCAGGACCTAAAAAGACCCAAATGGCTGCCTCACCAAGTCCACAGTCTGTAAGAAGGGTTTCCTCCTCTCGGTCTGTCTCTGGATCTCCTGAGCCAGCAGCTAAAATGCTTCCAGCACCTCCATCCGTGTCCATTCTCAGCCACCCTCTACAGACTGGTCACCAGTGGTGCTGGTGGAGAAGGCTAAAAGCCCAGTGCCAAGCCCTATCACCAACCAGGAATTTGGATCAAAAAGGAGGCGGGAAGAAAAAGGGTAAGAAACACAAAAAACACAAGAAGGAAAAGGCTGTGGCTGCAGCTGCCACTGCTGCTGCCAGAACCACATCAGCACAGAAAGAACCCCAGGCAGCCCCAGAGCCACAAGAAGGAGACTGAAAATGAAGCTGAAGATAACTGATGACAGAGAAGCACCTGAGGTAAAAGCCCTGAGATCCATGAGGAAGGCTTAAGTGTCCCCACAGTCCTAGGTGGAAATGTTTGTTAGGATGTAAATTTTATTTGGTTTGCACTCAATTCAGTTTCAAAATCGCTAAAATGTGTTTGAGCTCTAGACTATAACATTTGTTGTAATAATTGCTAGGTTGAAATTCACCCTGTAAAAGGGGAGGGGCATGGATTTACATTGCAAAAGGTGCCCACAGTGTATTAGTGACATTCTTTCATTGACAGCTGACATAAATTCATTTAGAGTAAAATATTGTAAACCAAAAAATCGCTTTTTTTAAAGAAAAAAGGGGTTTAAGAAACTTGAAATAAGGATTAAAATGTGTAATAGAAATGGGAAGATGTTCAAATGGGAAAGGGGACAAGGGAGGGCAAAAGGAAGGAAAGGTAACAAGAAAAAAATGAAAATAGAAGGAAAAATAAAAACAGAGCTTTTGTATATGGGAAGGTTGCGGGGTGGAGGGAATGGGAGAAAAAGAGGCAGGACACATCATGTACAGGTGCGAACTCCCTACAATGAGTGTTATCATTATTTATATCTAAAATGTACCAATAAATGTTTTGCTTAAAAAGGGGGCTGTGTGTGTGAAAAAGAAGAATGATGGTCCACACAAAAGCAACAAAAAATTGCAAGCACCAAAATTCAGAAAATATCTTTTAATTTCACATGAGTGCATTAAGTATGTCCATTACAACACATGATGTAATGAATTATGAAGATTCATATTAGACAGCCACGTTAGTTCATTAGCAAGTGTGTGTGTTATTCATGTGCTGTGTCTCTACTCCAGTTGGTCATTCAGCAAGCTCATCTGTTTACATAAACATTTACTTCTCGTCCAAAGGCACCCACTTGGATATTTATGAATATTTCATTATAATTTATGCATCAGTATCAATAATGTTATTTACATTTAATTATATATTAATATTATTTTATAACTCAGTACATCTGTTGTGTGTTGTGATGGTTGTACTAAATGCATCTGGCTAATGATCTTAACTGGGGCTTATTTTTGAAATAGGGCTTAAATTACGAGCATCCTGAAAAATCATGCTAGGGCTTATTTTCCAGTTAGGTCTTATTTTGGGAGAAATACTCTGTCTAGCCCAGGCTGGTCTCAAACTCAGTTTCTACTGTCTCAGCCTTCCAAGTGCTTTGATTAAAGGCCCACACCACCATACCTGGTTTAAAACTTAGTTTTTGTTCTTTGTTTGTTTGTTTGTTTTGTGGTGTTGGTGATTGAACCCAGGACGTTATGGATGCTAAGCAAGGGCTTTACAACTGAGCTATACTCCTAGACTTGATCAACCAATATTGTTGAAATACTTTATTATCCATATTCCAGTTATGTCAGTTAACCCTGTAGTATCTTTCGTAGATTTTTTTCCCTCTATAGCACAGGATTGATTCCATCTAGGATAACATATTGGATTTTTTGGAATGGCCCTTTAATCTTTTAAAATTACATAATATTCCCCAATCTTACTTTTTCCATCATTGCTACTTTGGAAGAATAGAACTTCCCAGTACCATCCTCAGACTTATTCTGTTGTTTGTGTTGTCTTTTGCTTTTGAGGAAGGGTCTCACTGTGTAACTCAGGCTGGGTCTCAAGCTCCTGGCCTTAAGTGAACACCCCTGCCATCCTCCCCAGTGCCGGAACTACATGTGTGTACCACCATGCCCAGCTTTTTTTTTTTTTAATAGAATGATTTTTATTTTGGATTTTCCTAACAAAGTGAACATCCCCCCAAAAGGACAGTTGTGTATAATGACTAGTACTGAAGATTATGCATGTAGTTTTTGAGCTAGAAATACATAACCTAAATACAAGGAAGTGAATATATCTGAAAAACTCAGAATGATCACCATTTTTAAAAAGCTTAAAATAGTGATTGTTCAGTCCACAATTGAACTAGAATGTCATTATTTGGGTTTTCAAATTGTCCCAGAGTTGGCCATTGGAACACTTTTCTGGCTGGTTTCTGTGACCTTGTGGCATATTCTCATTTAAAACAATCCAAACAACGGGGGAAACTTATTTCCTTACTTGGTGGCATAGGCTATATCTACACTCATCTTGTACTCAACCTGTGTCAGCCTTGAATCTGTTACTTCTGGCTATGCTGCCCCCCCCCCCCCCCTTTCTGAGACAAAGTCTTGCTGTGTAGTTCAGGCTGGCCTTGGACTTCTTATGTAGCCCAGGCTGGCTTCTAATTCAGCAATCCTCCTGCCTCAGCATCTCAAGTGCTAGGATTACAGGTGTGTGCCACCACACCCAGCTCTGCTGATTCCTTTTAATCAGGTGTGTTGTTTAAAGGGTAAGCTTTGTCTGGTAAGTGTACTCAAGTCTTTGCTTCTAGCTGTTTTTGATGGACAGTGCTAGAAAATAAATAGTACATGCATGCAAAGACATATGGGAAAATACACACATATACTTGCATACCTATACATATACACATATGTGTGTTTTAGAAATCATGAATTCACACTGATACTTCCAAAAGGTTCTTTCTTGTCTTCTCCATTTCATATTCATGTCTCTTTTGCTCAGTGATGTCCTGACATCAGCACATCTATTAATACAAAAAAAAACAGTTGCAGAATTGCTTGTCCATACCACTACAGAAGTCAAACAAAGTAAAGAGGTCAGAAATGTTTTCAGTTGTACTTCTGTCATTGCCATGTGAAACTGAAGATGCGCCATCAAGTACTATCTCATAGGTTATTTTCTTCAGTTTGCTCTTTATCCTTTTCTTTCTTCCTTCCTTCATTTTGGAATTGGGTAACATTTCTTCTAATTTTTATATTTTATTTACAGTTATATAATTTAGTATATTTTACATAATTCATTTATATTTCCCTTTTCTTTTAGGAGAGGTCACACAGTAATAGTATGTATGCTCTTTGGTATATTACTTTTTTGTTAACTCCTTTAAATTAGAACATTTGACACAGTTTTACACATCTTTAATTTTATTAAGCCAAGTTATCATCAATTTCCATATCAGTCTGTGTTTTAGAGACCAAAATTTTAATGTAGAAATGTTGACTCAATTGTGGTCAAATTGAAAAGGTAAGAGTTTTTACACATTTGTGAATATTTTAATTAACCTGAAGTAGGGAATCGCTTTTCCAAAATACCGTCTTTCTTTGCTTGTGCAGCAGGAGGCAGCAGAGGGATAATTATCATACTTCTCTGAATGTGTATTTTTAGATGAATAAATGAGATTATTTTTATTAGCTAAACTCATCACTTTTCCAATTCCTTATTTTACTCTATAGAAACCACAGTGACTAATCACTCACCTTGATTATTCTGTGTGACATAGCAGGGGCTGCCTAAAAAATAGTTTGATGTAACTTATCAGACTTTTAAAAATCTTCCTTTCTAGTTTATTAATATTGCTTGGAGGATTTTTAAAAAACAATGTGAGTGATCAAAAAATTTTTGAATTAAAAATAAAAGGTACATCAGATGACCTAGTTTTAGGTTATGTAAAGCACTTTTATAAGTAAATTTTGTTGTGAACGCCTGAGGCTTTTGAAAATTCATATTTTTAAATTTAAAAACAATTTTAAATATGCAAATGTGAATAATGATGTGACAAGTATATAATCAGTGAAGAATTTAATCTAGGTTTATTGCATAGCATCTGAGATAATCATGCATATCAAAGTATTGATTCACTTTGAAAGTTGGCCAGTTGATTTATTTACATCAGATGTGAATAAGGACATGTCTTTAGTTTCTTTTTATTTTTAAAATTTTTCTTTTGTTTTGAGACTCAAACCCAGGGCATCACACATGGTAGACAAGTGCTCTGTCACTGACTCCAGCCCCCATCCCCATACTTTTTTGTGGTACTGGGAATTGAACCTAGGACTGTCACCCTGAGCTACATCCCCCACACTTTTTCAGTCTTTTACTTTGAGATAAGATCTTGCTGATTTGCCCAGGCTGGGCTCAAACTGGCTGTCCTCTTGCTTCAGCCCCAGAGTGCTGGGATGACAGGAGTGTACCACCCAATTCAGCTTCCAACCCATGTTTTTATTTCTAGTGGCATAAACAGTAAGCTCTCTGGACAGCTAGTATATGTGTCATAGTTGATTGATGTGTAATTTGTGCCATTTTTCCACTAACACAATTGAAAATGCAAATACAGCAAAATCTTTTGTTTATTTTTTTATGTTTCCTTTTATAATCTTTGTGGAGACATTAGGAGGACAAAACATCCAATTTGCTAGCATGTCAAATATTTAATGTTAGGAAGTCATGTCTAAGTCCCTTGATTATGTTTTTAAAATTTATTTGTAGAACAGCCGCCAGATCCCAAATCCTTACCATTTCAGAGTTTATGAATTCTTAAAAACTTTTCTTCCTGTAATTAGAAATGTAGTTGATCATGAAACTGCCTGAATGGCACCAGTAGATTATAAAAAAGGAGCAAAAGTGTCTCAGCAGGGCTTTGAGCTGTTTGTCTGAGAGACACTCATGCAAACATTCCTATCCATGGCCATCATGCATGGTAAATAAGCTCCATCTAATAGCCTGAAGACTTAAACAGCTGAATAGAAAATGACCTTCTGGTTCCCTCTCTCTTCTCCCCCTAGCTGATTCGATGTCATCAGTCCCGTGGTGGAGCCTGTGGAGACAACATTCAGTCCTACACTGCCACAGTCATTAGTGCTGCTAAAGTGAGTACTTCAGTGGTCTTTGGGAGTTGTGCTTATATCATACTGAAATTTCCCTTCTTGAATTGTATTGAAATTCCCTTCCATTTTCACTCATAAATGTAGAATAATCTTTAAGAAGTAAATTTTTTGTCATTCATGAGAATTGGTGATTGATTTGGTATTTAATCTTTTAGGGTTAATAAATTTTCTATTGTAATGATTGTAGAGTTTGTACTTAAGTCTCTTAATTGGATTAAAGCAGGGGAACTGATTAATGCCACATTTGAAAGAAGCTTCCCATGTTCTAAATAGCAACTTCTGGATTTTTTTCTGTAGTTTGTATCATTCTACCTTCACTGACATCCTGTATGTCTTTGAACATTTTTGCGTCTTCTTGACATAAAAAAAACTATCATTCTTTATGAAAAGTTGAGTCAATCCCCTGGCACATTCAAAGATTCTTTCATATCAAGGGGCAGCCCCCTTCATGTTTGCCAAGTGAGTTCTTTTTTGTGTCTGAGGGTTAATTTTGATGAAGCCTGGTAAACTTTATGCTGATTATAAGGTATTCTTATAACCACTATCCTTTTGAATTGTGAAGTATACAACAAAACAATTCTAATAATAGGGATGACAGAATGAATCCAAATGACAGCATGTAATCGAAAGCACAACTATTCAGAAAAGAACAACAGTTTAAAGTAAACCACAGAGAGAGAATCAAAGGTCACACTGTTTTATGTAAAACAAACACAAAAATACTTCAGGATTGATCACAAATGCTTACATGATGTGCTTTAGAATGTGTTCCTTGGTTTGATGAGAGAAGAATTACACACTTTTCACTCAAAAGGGAAATAATGTCTTTACCCTTATAGAACTATATATTTTAGAAACCTTTGTAAGAATGTTTACTTTTCTTCATTGTATATGCAAAAATAAAGATGATTATTTCAGCAAAGCGTAATCTAAGAGTAATTAGGCAGCATTTTCAGTTGTATTGTGTTAGTTTATCTGTAACTTTTAACAGTGAGTTTTTTCCTCATGTGTTAGACTCCTTTTAGACTTGTCTCACATATGTGAGTCAGAGAAGCTCATAGTATTAACATTTTTGAGTAATTCTCAGTTACATAGTGAAAGATAACTTTTTGGTTCTTCTTTGGTATTACTATGTGTTTGTTGTGCTTACATAAAAGGAAAGTGATCAGCTTCACTCAGTAAGTGTTTCACTGTAGAAATGTTGGAAACAAGGCTAAAATTAATATGACTTTAAAATAACAAGTTTGAACTTCCTGTGTTCCTGCATCTCAATATTGGGAACTGTGAGACATATGCTGAAGTCTTCTACATTTAGACTCTAAGAAATTATGTTTAATGCAACACCTTAATCTAATCAATTTCCCAAAGACCGCTGATCATCAAATGGGTGGTTATAATTCATTATTAGCTTTGGCAATATATAAAATCTTCCATTTGCTTTTGAATAAAGTAGGTAATATTTAATTTTTTTTTTTTATGGGACTTGGAATTGAATCCAGGGCCTTTGCACTGATCTGTATCCCTGGGCCTTTAAAAATTTTTGTTTTTTTCTTTTTGTTGTACTGAGGATTAAACCCAGGACCTTCATACTGAGTGACATCGCTAGCCCATTTTTAAAATTTTGAGACAGGATTTCACTGAGTCACTAAGTTGCCCAGGTAAGACTTGAAATTGTGATGTGCCTGCCTCAGTTTCCCAGAGTGTTGGGATTAGAGGTGTGTGCCACCATGCCCAGCTCCCAGTTGACACTATCACGCAATGGAGCCCAGGCTGGTGTTAAACTCCTGACTTAGTCTCTCACTTTGGGATTACAGGAATGTGCCACCACACCTGGCTTTTCCCCTCTGGTTTTAATGTTAATTCATGTTCATGGTTGTAAACCTGAAAAATGATGAAAACAATAGAGCAATGAACATTAAAGCCACCCACTTCTTGATAGCCTGTGTTTGTATACATGGGCAGTTTAATTTGTAGAGACACTTCCAATCATATGTTCTACCCTGACCTGGTAAGTTATTATTATATTTAACTAAAATATCATTAAATATCTTTGAAAACAGTTTTTCATTGATAAATTGGCCTTCTAGGGAATAGAATATTTCTAGTTTTGCATGGTAACTACACCAAAATTACTTCTTCAATTTTTATAATTCTAAATGTATACTTTGTCCGGTTGCTATTACATTATGTATTATACTCCCATTCATGTGTTGAGTTGTGAAAATTCATCATGTTGTACACTGTTTCAGGGAGTATAAAGTTCATTTTTTTAAATCCCCCAAAGGTATCTTTAGACCTACAAACCTTTTGTAGAGAATTTGATCTAAATTTAAGAATAAACAATGGCAGTATTACAGACTCCTTCAGAGAATATGAAGTCAGATTATCCCTAGTTTTGATTTTTGATGCTGAGTTACTGAAAACTGAAAAGTGATAATGAAAACTGATAAGTGATAATAAAAACTGATAATGAAAACTGATAAGTGTTATAAAAAGGAAAACTGAGTTGATCTTGTCTAACTTATGAATACAGATGTGAAAATTTATAAAAAATACCAACAGAAAAACATGAAGCAATATATAGCAAATATGATGTATCACAAAGCGCTTGAGATAATTCCACAATGTAAGGCTGACTGATTACTCAAAGGGAATGAGTATAATTTGCCACATTGAACAGCACAAAATTATATGCTAATCTCAAAAGATGAACAAAAACTGTTGGAAAAAATCGAATATATATATTCTGGTTCTCTGGTTTCCATTTTTCTCAAATAATCATACCTGGCCCATTAAACTGGTTGTATTAAAGTCTGTTTCTGATAACTCCAATGTCTGGTTTCCTTTTGGCTGTGTTTCTGTGGTTCGTTCTGTTGGTTTTTATTTTTGATCTCTTGCCAGAATTTTGAGAAGCAGTTTCAGTTTCTGATAATATTGGAGTTTACAGTCTTAGCTCATCTTAATTCAGTTTTGGGAATTGAGATTATTTAAGTTATTTAAATGACCTTCACCTGTAGTAACTGTGCTCATTGCACACTAGAAGAGGTTCAGTCTTCTATTTTCTATGTCTTTATGTACCAATTTAAAGCATGGCAGGAATTTCACCAGGTAGATCCCTTCCAAATTGTTGATTTTGGTATAAGACCTGGTTCCAGAAATCTATCCAAAGCATCACTTAGTCTCTTTGCATCAATCAAGGATATTTCCAGGTCTAAATACACAACTGGAGCATCTGGATTCCCCTTGGATTTGATTTATTTTTTCCCCTGCAGTACTAGGAATGTTTACCCAGGGTAATGTGGTAACTACACTTTTTCAGAACCTTCAAGCAGTATTTACAAAAATACTCTCTTGTTTCAAAAGAGTTTAATTTACCTAATCTGTCATTATAGAAAATACATTTTTCTAATTATTTATCATTTTTATTATTTCAGGTAATATGATAGTGTTTGAGATGGGACGTGAACTTCATTGTTTAATCATATTACCTGAAAGAGTAATCATTACTTTTTTTCCTTCTGATGATAGCTTCCTCTGTGACTACAGAGAGGTTATTTACCTACTTTGTTACATAGAGGGACTAACTATTAATTTTTTGTCTCACCATACAATTGTGAGGATAAATATATTAATTACATAAGTCCTGGGAGCTCCTTAGAGGGAGTAATCTTTTTTACATTTTCTCAGTTTCCAGATAACACTTAAAATTAATCTTCATACTTTTAGATTTTTCTCTTTGATTTTCATAATAGCAGATTTGACTTTCCTTTCAAAGAGTATACAAGTGGTGGATTTTCCATGGTAGAAGTAAAGGAAAAAGTTTAATCTTGAAATTGTTCACATGAGATTATTTTGATAGATTTATAAAATCTTGGTCCAGTGCCCGGGGATTTAGCTCAGTGGTGCCACCACCTGCCTCACAACTGCAAGGTCCCAAGTTCGATCCATATTTTCTAGTTCCTTCATAACTGTCTTCATGCATTTTAATCTCAGTGTGGTCAGTTGATTTAATAAAAATGCCCATGTTTTTTCTTGTTATCTGGTAACTCCTTTTTTTTTTGTATTGAGGATTGAACTCGGGACTTGTGCTTGTGAGGCAGGCAGCAGAACCAGTGAGCTAAATCCCCAGCCCTATCTCGTAACTTCTTAATGACAACCAACAGTTTTGTGAGAGCAGCACCATTAGCACTAATGGATAGTGGGGACAACTGGTATGCCATAAGGAAGATGAAAGAGGACTAGGGACCCTTTGGCAAATTTGCTTGTACTGAACAGAGTATGTCCCACACTTATTTGACTTCCAGGTCATAATAGATTTCTTCCACAGTTTTGTTATAGTCTAGTGCTCAACTGTCTTATAGCTACAGATTTGTTCTCAGGTCCTCTTGTAAACATCACCCAGGGACTTAATGAACTTTTGAATTTAGATTCTTCAGATTGTGAGGAAACTCAGTCTAATTTATCATCTCTATTTGTCCAGTTATATTTCTCTATTCCTAATCTATGGTTGGCCATCATTATGTTTTGTATATATATATTGAGGAAATTATCAGGTATATACGTACATACCCTACCTACTGAAATGAAGTGGGAAGACAAATTACTGTGAGGTAATTCAGATTTCTAAATGTGGTATGTGAGAACTGTTAAATAACAACATGATATAGATTACTTCTGGACACTAGTGGCCATAGATATGGTTCTAATATGGCAGCAAATTTATCCTAAAGCCAATGATTTTTATTAATGCAGAAAACTTTCAACACTCTTCCTACTGCTTCTTTCTACCCCATTGTTAATTAGCTATAAGGAATACTAACTTATAACTTAATATACAAATTGCACTTTTTGTCCTACTTTTAAAAAATTTAGTTGTGTTTTATATAGTTATACAGAACATGGGCTTCATTTGACATAGTCATACATGTTTGGTGATCTAAATTTTGGACTGTTTTGCTCACTAGTAAGAGAGCTATATCAGTATTCATAGTTTTTTTTCCCTCAAGATGTCTAAAACTCTTTGTAATATGAGCCTTTGACTGTGAATTATACTACTGTTTTCCACTTTGTGGATCCTTTCCCTTGTTTTTTTATGTGAACTTTTATAGTTACCTTGTGGTTTGACTTGGTACATTACTTTCCACTTTTTATGTGCTCCAGTTCTTTTAGTTTTATTCCTATTCATTGATATAAGAGCATGAAGTAATAGGCTCAGGGGCAAATGCGGAGGATATACAGCCAAAGACTTTAAAACTAAAAGGCATTCCTTTGATAAAGGGATCGCTACTTCTAAGTGGGAGCATCTCCATTAACATTAATGGAGTGCGTACATCAGCTGAGGCATCTCAGAGGTTAATCAGGCTTCCTGGCCAGCTGTTGACATCAATAGGCCATGGCGCCTGATTCTCTTGGTCTTTCAGGGGTTTACTTGACAACACTGTCACAGAGTTAGTGTAAGTCATTTCTTGTGAATTATTGAAATAAACGTTTGGCTGCTAATTGAGGAACACTAATGTGTTCCATAATCATTGCTGTTAGAGTTTTTAGCACTAAACAAAACAGTTATGATTGATTTGTGGGTTTTTTCTTGTTTTCCGTCTGCTCTAGGTTATATCTTTGCTTGAATTTAGCAGATGGCTTTCTTGGTCATTTTAAGTATTTATTAGGGTACATTGTTAAGGTTCTAAATTTTTCCTGTATCACTTCATCCCATAAGACATCTGTGTTTTGTATTCAAGAATGTGAGGCCACCAAGTAGATTGTAAGGACAGGTTACAGGGCAAAATAGGTTAAGATAGTGGTCAAGAATCATGTTCTGCAGACAGACGGTAGTTCTGGTTTGAGTTCTGGCTGTCATTGCTTACATAAAGTGCCATTTAAATTATATTTTTTGTTTTTTATAAAAATGAGGAAATCTGTAGAGGTAGTTATGGTAAGATCCTTGAGCCACGTACCTTGAAACATAACTGCAATAAAATATGTTACTATTGTGTTATTGGAAAATTCTTTTCCTTTTTTTAATACTTGTATAATCGTTGCGTAAAATACATTTTTGCTTTCACAAACGTTTTTGTGTACCATTTATACATTATAATTTGAAATACTGTGTATAAAATAATTTATATTTTAAAATTTAGCTATAGCATATGCCAGAATATAGGTGAGAATATCTTCTCCATAATTATTTTAGAAGTCACCTTATTTGAGATTAATATGAAGTATTTTAATAAAAATTTTTCTCAGTGTGAGAATTGAAAAATGTGCATACATTATTCAGTATTCACTTTTTAATATGCCTTTGTAATGTAAGCTGCCTATTCTGGATCAAATAGCTAGACCTTTCAGACATTATTTTAGCTTTCTTTCTAATGAAACGTAACCTTGTTACTTTAAAAATATTTTTATTAACAATATGAGGATAATCAGACAGCTTGCTTACAAGAAAAATACACGAGTTTTACCTATTTGCTTTAAAGAAATAGAATTAAAATGTAATTATGAAAGATCCTAATTTACTTTTAATTGAAATAATATTTTACAGTACTACATTTGTTTACTGCTAGTGAAAGGAAAAGAAACCTCTTAGCTATTTTTTTTTCCCAGTAGTAGGGATGGAAGTTAGGACCTTGTGCTTGCAAGGCAGTCATGCTGCCACTGAGCTAAATCTCTGGCCTAGCTAATTTTATATATGATACTTCAGTTAGTAATTAGAATCTTGGACATAGACTATATTTTCCACATCCCAAATCTTAGTGTATAATATTATAGAACAGCATATTCTAAATTTATTTAGGAAGCATAGGCTTTTTCCACATAGCTATTCTATCAGTATCTCCATCCTTTTCATGCTAGAAAATAGATATAAAATGACATATATAACATTTCAAAAGAACAGAATATCACATAATTTCTCCTTCTCATTGTATTATGTATTTTAGAAACACTAAAAGGAAGGAATAAAATAAATGCTTTTTATAAAAAATATAGTTGCTCCCCTCTGTGAAGTAGAGATCTTTAATTATAATTAGAATCATTTAATTATGGCTTTATTGCCACCATACTGACTCTGTAGCTTCATTGATACCATTCCCTTTAATAATACTGATTTTCTAAATAAAATTTAAGATCATGTTAAAAGACTGAATATTTATGACAACTGCTGTATGAAAGATTATAAAGGAATTAAGAATTTACTATAATTAATAAAATGTGTATTTCTATTTAGACTCCATATGTTGATGTCCAGTCATGTCTTTTATCTTTCACTGTACAGACACTGAAAAGTGGCCTGACAATGGTTGGGAAAGTGGTGACGCAGCTGACAGGCACCGTGCCCTCAGGTGTGACAGAAGATGATGTTACTGTCCATAGTAACTCTCGGCGGAGTCCTCTGGTCCCAGGCATCATCACAGTTATTGACACTGAAACAGTTGGATTGGGCCAGGTAAGACCTTTGCGCATGAAATTTGTGTTACCTACAAGTATTAACTAAGATGAAGATCTACCAGAAAGTATTTCGTTTAGGCCAGTGGTGGTGAACCTATGGCACATGTGCCGCAGTGGGCTGTTTGTATCATTGAAAGCTCTAAAAGGTTCACCACCACTGGCTTAGGAGATTAATAATTTGGAATTATAGAAACTGATGCTATTTCAGGTCAGATTTTTTTTCAAGAAATAATTAGTATCATGTTAGGCCTGTTATTTCAAACAATATTAAGGAATCAAACCTAAATGTACAGTTTTATATCTTTATCCGAACATTTCTCTCTCGCTCTCTCTCTCATTTTTTTGGGACAGAGTCTTGCTGTGTAGTTTATGCTACCCTCGAACTCACAGTGATCCCCCTTCCTCAGCTTTCCATGGACATTTCTTTCATAAATTTATTTTACAACTTTTCTATTTGGTTCATTATACTATTTTTTATAAACCATGGTACAATCTAATTCTGAAGATTTTTTTTTTGCTTGCTTATGTACATATTTATTTTCAGTGGTAGGGACTATACCAGGGCCTTCTGACTAGACCACATTCCCAGTCCTTTTTAAATTTTTTGAAACAGAATCTCAGTTGCCCAGGCTGCCTCAGACTTGTGGTCTTCCTGCCTCAGCCTCTCAGAATGCAGAAATTACAGGCATACATCATCATGTGAGGTCAATAGGGTAAATTTATTTTTAAAGGCAGAGGCTTGTACATAGAAGTAACCAATAGGACCTTACATATTTGGGGGAATTGTTTAAAAATTGAGGGCTGGGGTTTTAGCTCAGTGGTTCTGCCGCCGGCCCTGCAAGTGCAAGGTCCCAAGTTTAATCCCTGGTACCAAAAAAAAAATTGAATTGAGTAGGCTGCAAGTGACATAATTTAGTGGCTAATATCAAATTGTATAACAATTTATGAATATAAAAATAATACATGAAATTTTATAGTAGTTTATCAGAAAACACATAGTAATACCTTGTAATAAAATCCTTTATCATCAGATAAAACAGTTGTATTTTATTTTACTATTCTTTTTGGCATTAAAAGACTTGTTTATTGAAATAATAGGCAAAAACTTTACAAATAAGGTAAAAGAATTTAACATACATGTAACTGAGTCATATAGAACCCCAGATACCCATGATCAGAAAAAGGATCTCTGCACGACATATCATAGTCAAAATCCTGGAAGTCCAGCACAAGAACAGAATTTTATAAATAGTTAAAGAAAAGCAACACACCACTTATGAAGAAAATACAATAAGAATTAAAGCAGACTTCTCGGGGCTGGGGATTTAGCTCAGTGGTTCCGGCGCCTGCCTTTCAAGCACAGACCATAAGGTCAGTAGAATTTTGAATGAAAATTTTCAAGCCCTAAAAGAAAACAAGTTCTAACCCAGGCCGAAATATCCTACAAAACTATTTCTCAAATTTGATGGAGAAACAAGATCTTGATGTTGATAAAGATCACCTAAAGAAATTTATGACCACCAAACCAGCACTCCAAAAAATTCTCAAGGATACCCTGGAAAGAAACAATGAAGCTAACAATGACAAAATGTCTAATACAGTAGTAGCAAACCTATGGCATACATGTTGTTTTTTTGCTTTTTGTTTTTTTTTC